TTTTTAAAGTCTTTTATTTTTTCTATGCTTCAGTTTAAACATGAACCTAATCTGGTTTGTAGGCGCGGAAACACTAAAACGATTTAAATACTCAATATCTGAAAAATGCAGTTGTCACAATAAAAACCTGACGATGGAGTAACTGCCTGAAAGTTAAAGGAAGTTTAAAAAGAAAGAAAGTAAAAGTTAAAAATAATAATGCGCATCTTTCCATTTTTGTGGCCATAACAATCAGGCAGTTTCAAAAAACAAAAAGGCTGTAGGAGGAGATCAACAGTTTTATGCTAGAAGCATTTATCTAACCGGGGATCACGTGGCTCCATTCAGCCCCTTTTACCTCAACTCTGAACTTTTTGTGGTTTAAATAAACAGTTGTTGTCTAACTGTTAAAATCTCCAATTGGACCAAAAGCATTTTTGAGATTCAGTGAAAATCTTTGTGCAGAGAATAATCTTATATCACAGTATTCATCTGTGTAAAACTGCTCTGAGAAAGCTGCGGATCACCTCAGCGTTTACTTCAGTTAAAAAATAACAATTTGTTGAATTGGAATAAAGTGTTGGACTTATCCGAGCTTGGATAAGTAATTTTGTAGCAGCTGTAGCTTCTTCTTAGGGAAGGTGGCCTGCTGTGTAGCCTCTGTGTGACACGGGCCCAGCGGCGTTGTTATGGGAAGTGAGCGAGTGTCTCTCTTTGTTGTGGGTTTGTGTGTGCGAGAGTTTGTCACGAGGGTCTTTTCTGGTGCCACACATGTTTTCACTGTGCAGTTTTTCCCACACTCCCACCAGCTGCCTGTTTTTCTTGGAACATGCGTGTTATGTTTCCTCCACCCCGCCCTGTGACGCTTCACAGGTCATATTTTGTGTGTGTGTGTCACTTTGAAAACGTTTGTATTTTTAATACCTGACTTGTTATTGCAGTTAAATGCGTGTCGTGGTTTGACCTGCGTTCGTTGTGATTAAGTTGATGATTATTTTGCTCAAACTTGGCAAATTCAGTGAAAGTAATTTTGGGTTTTGTTAGAAAAAGAAATTTTATTTCTCAAGCTTTGGACACATTTGGGATCACAGGGATTACCTGCAAATGTAATCCCTGTGATTTAGAAACAGGCTATAGAATTCTTTGAACACTCAGTTTCAGACAGTTTTTTCTATTCTTTGCTCCATGTGATGTCAGCGAGAGAGGATATGCGTTATATGATCATCTTGGACGCACAGCTCTGTGAGCACAGAAGCCCCGCCCTCGTCTTTTTCTGAGGACCAGCCTGTCTGGAGAAAGTTTGTTTGAAGGGTTTAAAGAGCTTGTTTCACACTGAGGCCCAGAATGAGATAAATGAGGATTATTTTGGAAACTGTGAATCATGCAAAGCTACTCTGGTAGAGTCCAGGAATAAAATATATTGGTTGATACTGTCTCTGTTTCCATCAGGAGGACCTGAGAGGAACCTGTGAGAGGATCGCTGAGGCCGTGCTCGGCAGAGACGACGACTGGCAGATGGGAAAAACCAAGATCTTCCTCAAGGTACTCCTGCATGCAGGGTGTTGTTCAAAGTCTCAGATTTGTAGGTGCCACTTCACACAGCTGCTAACTTCACACAGCGGCAGTATGAAACTTTTCACAGGGCTCGCTGTATTTCCAAAAAACACTGATGCCCGGGCTAAGCGGCTGGCACAGCACATCGCGTGAACTACTGTTCTCTTATCTTTCCACTGAAATGTTTCCACATTATCCAGAACTTCTTTACATTCTCGTCTCTGACTCGCTCAGCTGTGGTTCATCCCAGCCGTGACTCTGCTCTGGTTGTTTCCAGTCCACACGTCTGCTGATGGGAAACACTGCGTGTTTTAGTTTCCAGCTGTCTATCTGCCTACTTTATACAAACATGTATTGCAGATCAGGTCAGAGGTCACGTCTGTTAGCTGGCCGTCCCCACACAGAGGTTAAAAGAACAGATCATCTGGCTCCACAGTGTAGTTTGACGTGGCGAGCACAGCCTGTCAAAGCGTTTTTGTTGTTGTTGTTTATAGTCGCTCTGCAGCACAGCCGTTATCTTCATTTTTATGTTTCTGCCTTTTATTTTCTTTACTTCCTGCATTCAAAGCGCTCATCAAAGATCACTCCTGCGAATAAAATGTAATTTTGGTGAAGGGGATGGACCTTCAGCCCTTAAATCATAGTGGATATAATGTGACACTTTCACCTTTAAAGTGTTTTAGATTGATAAGTTGGGGGTGGAGCACTGAGATGTGTTGACTGTGGTGGAGTCGAGGCTCATCTCCCTCAGGCCTCGATGCTCGGACAGACAGGAAGTACAGCAGGAAGGAGAAAGTTCAGTGGGTGAAAGCAGAGCAGTGCCCACACTTCCCCAACAGGACGTGGTCAGATCAGCCTGCATGCGGGTGGACAGATGACGGGAAGGAGCTTTAGGTGTTTACATTTAGTTGTGTGTCATGTTAGTTGAAAACTGTCAGGTTAAAGCTTGTGTATCCTCCCTGTGTCTTACATTTTATATTTTTAGAAAGCAGATATTTATATTTTGCCACGTTAGCTGGAAGTGACAGCTGCTCAGTTTCATTTAAGTTACTGACTTCCTCCTGGCTTTTCCTCCAGGACCAGTAGGTGACTTTTGTGGTTTTGAGTAAAACGTTCTCAAACTGAGTCAGAGCAGAGAAACAGAAGCGTACGGAGTGTGTTTATTATTCTGTCCAGGATCATCACGACATGCTGCTGGAGATCGAGAGAGACAAGGCCATCACAGACAAGGTCATCCTCATCCAGAAGGTGGTTCGGGGTTTCAAGGACAGGTGGGTCGTCAGCGTTTCTCACAGACTGAGATTTTATTTTATTTTATGCAGCTGCCAGTGATTCTTATCCAGGAGTAGAATTCAAACATCACGCTCTCGGACCGTAGCTTACGGTGTTGTTCTGCACCTGCTTAAAACTGACACTTGCACATATCTCCTGAGTATGACTGTCATCGAATGGCTGCATCGCTTACTGTTCTGTTTTCTTTGAAAGCAGAAAATAAGACGAACAAGTCTCTCTGTGACTCTTTATAACTATTTCTCAGAGGTTTTTTCTCTTTGTATGAACAGTAAAACAAGAGGTCATATAAATAATCATTTCTGATTATTTTCAATTTCAGATCCAACTTCCTAAAGTTGAAGAAGTCGGCAGTGCTGATCCAGAAGACGTGGAGAGGATATCAGTGCAGGAAGAACTATGGAGCTGTGAGCATCGAGCAGCAGTTTGAACAAAGTGGAAACAAAATAAAATCAAAGCAAAGACTCGCTGAACTTTCCTCCTCTTTACTTTCAGATGCGAGCTGGCTTTTCTCGTCTTCAAGCTCTGGTTCGTTCCAGGAAGTTGTGCGCATCGTATCACGTGGCCCGTCAGCGAATCACAGCCTTCCAGGGTCGCTGTCGCGGCTTCTTGGTGCGTCGAGCATTCAGGCACCGGCTGTGGGCCGTCATCACCATCCAGGCCTACACGAGAGGAATGATCGCTCGACGACTGTACAAGAGGCTGAAGGCAGAGGTACACACACACACACACACACACACAGAGAACAGTGCACATATACATAAAACTCATTTTACACACAAGTTTTCAGTTTTAGAGATGATGAGATCACGTTCATGTCATCAGTTTACAAAATCTAGAGCTTGATAGATTTGATATCTTTTCATACATTGTGATTTCTGTGCTTCTCCTGGTTTCTTTGTTAAATTAATGCTCGGCCTCAAAGTGTCATTACATTGTTCACTGTTGTATAAAAAAGAAAGAGGCATTCAGAAGCTGCACTGCCCTCTGCTGCTGTGCCGAGGATGTTTTGGCAGCTGGCTGCTGCAGTTTTGATTTGGTCTTTAATGGTGGACTCCTTCATTTCTCCTCTCAGTACCGGAGGAGGCTGGAGGCCGAGAAGATGCGTCTGGCTGAAGAAGCCAAACTGAGGAACCAGATGTCTGCAAAGAGAGCGAAAGCTGAGGCTGAACGCAAACACCAGGTGAACAAATGTAACATGTGACAACATTTAAAACATCAGTGAAGCAGAGCGGGGAAGTGGATAATAATAATTCATCATCACACTTGTGCTGAGAAACATACTGGATTGTTCTGTATTTTTGAGATCTAGTGCAATGTTTCTTTCTTCAGGAGCGTCTGGCTCAGCTCGCCAAAGAGGACGCTGAGCGGGAGAAGAAGGAGAAGGAGGAGGCTCGGAGGAAGAAGGAGATGGTCGAGCAGATGGAGAAGGCCCGCACGGAGCCTGTCAATGACTCCGACATGGTGGACAAGATGTTCGGCTTCCTGGGGACCACCAGTTCTTTCCCGGGTCAGGAAGGGCAAGCCCCCGCTGGCTTTGAGGTGACACGACCAAGTTTTCCTCTTATTAATGAACCGTTTTCTCATAAAGGCCAAAGACAGTTACCCAACGTGTGTAATCAGTAAAACTGTGTCCTGTTGGCAAAGGTGTCTGATCAGGAGGACGGAAAATGACTCCTTAAGCCTCGATCGTTAATAATGGCATCGTCTGTGTGTGTGGCATGTTCACAGGACTCATGAAGACTGCTTACTCAAATACGCAGCATGGCAGATTTACAGGACATTAAAATCAGATATCATGTTGGCAGTTATTTCAAATTATTACAGATAACCAAGTCCAGTGAAATCACAGCTTTAGATAAATAAGAATGTGTGAGGTAAATTTTTTCTCTAAAAAGAATGACCTGTTTCCAATAACAGTGCTGCAGGAGAGCATGTTTCTGAGACGCAGTGATAGATTTGAGGGATTTTTGAAGTTGGAAAATTTGGAGAATTTGAAAAACTTCTGGAAACTTCAGCAGACAGTAAATTCTTGTCTTCTCTACAGGATCTGGAGCGGACCCATCACGAGCTGGAGGAGGAGGATCTGGATGAGGCTCTTCCTCTGCCTGAGGACGATGATGAAGAGGATTTATCAGAGTACAAGTTCGCCAAGTTTGCTGCCACCTACTTCCAGGGCACCACCACGCACACCTACGCCCGACGACCTCTCAAACAGCCGCTGCTCTTCCACGACGATGAGGGGGACCAGCTGGTAGGTCTGACCTCTGACCCCGCAAAAGTAAAAATGTATTTTGCAAGCGACTGAAGAAGTTTTGAAAAAGGCCACACGAGGCTGTCGCTCTACAGCGAGCTTTGCTCGTCTCTCAGGTTTAAGCCTTAACTTAATTTAGACGTAATGAGTGCAGAAAGGTTCTGACTGTGTGCAGCTGTTACAGTCTGTGCTCCATGATGCTGATGACTGGTGCGACTACTAAGACCTGTCACCAGCCAAGAACGAACCAACAAAGGAACAATTATTTCACCTGATGAACCTTTTGTTTCCTTGTGCCCTGCGTGTCTGCTCAGGCTGCTCTGGCGGTGTGGATCACGGTGCTGAGGTTCATGGGCGATCTCCCGGAGCCAAAGTACCACACGGCCATCAGCGACGGCAGCGAGAAGATCCCAGTCATGACCAAAATCTACGAGACGCTGGGGAAAAAGACGTACAAGCGAGAGCTGCAGGCGCTGCAAGGGGAGGGAGAGGTGAGGAGGAAGAGTGACGGAGTTTAAAGGTTTGAGCGAGTAAACGCTAACATAAGCTATAAAGTATGAACTATTATTCAGTGTGTTCATGTAACTTATCTGTTTTTAACATTTGTTACTTCATATAGTTTCCAAAGATCAGGAATAACAGGGTGCAGGTCACAGTGACTGTGTAAGGGATCTCTGTGAGCTGATTTCCTTCTCTCACCTCCAGACGCCTCACTCTGACAGCCACAAGAAGAACAGCGTCCGACACAAACTTGTGTCCCTCACCCTGAAGAAGAAATCCAAGATCACCGAGGAGGTAAGAGAGAGGGAGGGTGATATGATGCTGGTCTTGTTTCTGTTAATTAAACATGAGCAGTCTGAGACTGAAAATTGTGCTTCTGGTGCAGAAGGAAATCTGGGTTTGAACTTCATGTTAAAAACATGAAGTCAGATTTTATCTCAAGCGCAGATGAAGAGATTTTATCAATTTCAAGTCCATTTTGGGTCAAATCCATATATTTGTGAATAATTCTGCTAACAGACAGACAAATTAAGATAATCATGTAATCTGATGCTTTTCAGGTCACCAAGCGCCTTAACGACGGTGAGTACGGTGTTCATGGCAACAGCATGCTGGAAGATCGTCCCACATCCAACCTGGAGAAACTTCACTTTATCATCGGCAACGGGATCCTGAGGCCAGGACTCAGGTAAACAAACAAAGGGTCATCATGTAGTTTCCCAAACTTACCCAAAATTACCTTGGATATAAAAACTGGACATGTGGAGGAAAAAACTTGTCTCTAAGCCGCCCTTTGTGTATTTGATAAAATAGACCTTCCCAGATGTCACAGCGCTGTGGCCCACTTTGAAATTTAAAAGTGAAAGTTTAAAATTTTCCAGTTTTCAGTGAAACTTTAATTTGAAGTTTGTTTGTTTTTTAAAAAGCAGATACTTTCACATTTTCCTTTATCGAGCTGTTGCCTCATAAAAACGTTTACGTCACATATGGGAGACTAACACAATACGACGGTCTACGGACTCAAAGCTGCTCTTAAATTCAAGATGAATCTCTTTGGACATCTAAGCTGTCATCCCGTTGATTTTTCTTTTAGTCATCATTCTGTCATATTTACCGTATGTTTATTATTATTGTTGTACATTAATATTCATCTCAGTGTATAAAGTGACGTGGTTGTGATTTGGTGCTTCACAAATGAACCTGATGTGAATTGAATTTATACATGAAGATGCCGTTGAATGAGTTAATAAAGCCATGCAGATAAAAATACATTTTAAATGGTAATTTAATGAAACGGCATGATTTCTTTTAAAGAGTAAATAATAGTGCAGAGGCTGGTGAACACGTGTGTGTGTGTCTGTGAATATGAAGCAGCGTTCACCATCAGGACAAAGTCTCGACATCCAGTTTCAGTTAATCTGCATTAAACCGCATAAAATGTGTCTCATAAAGTTCTGCTGGGTCTCTGTTAATGTCTTTGATATTTCTGAGGTGTGTGTGTGTGTGTGTGTGTGTGTGTGTGTGTGTGTTAGGGATGAGATCTACTGTCAGATCTGTAAGCAGCTGAGTCAGAACCCGTCTAAGAGTTCTCACGCTCGCGGCTGGATCCTCATCTCTTTGTGTGTCGGCTGCTTCGCTCCATCAGACAAATTTGTGAAGGTCAGTGCGTCCAACGTTTGTGTTGGCATTTACACATTAGCCATGACGTTACATCTGTGTTTGTTTTGATTGCAGTATCTGAGGAACTTCATCAGCTGCGGGCCTCCAGGCTACGCTCCATACTGTGAAGAACGTCTAAGACGAACTTTTGTGAATGGGACGCGAACGCAGCCTCCGTCCTGGCTGGAGCTGCAGGTATAAACCATAGACTGTATATAAAAGACAGACGTGGCCATTGTGACTTCACCCACCGTTTACTGGAACTGTTTCTTTTTGTGAAATCAACGTCCAGGCCACCAAATCAAAGAAGCCCATCATGTTGCCGGTGACGTTCATGGATGGCACGACCAAAACGCTGCTGACAGACTCGGCCACCACAGCAAAGGAGCTCTGCAGCGCCCTGTCTGACAAGATCAACCTGCGAGACCGCTTTGGCTTCTCGCTGTACATCGCGTTGTTTGACAAGGTGGGCACGCACACGGCATCATATGAGCTCCAAGGCATGACACTCCTTTCTAGCACCTGTTAGGCCTCACGCTCTGGAACAGTTTGGATCATCTGGATCTTTCTCAGATCTTGTGGCCACTGCAGGGATGTGAACCTCTCTGTTTGTTGGAGAAAAAACAGTCACCAGTTTGCACCTCTGATCTCGTCCTGCAGGTCTCCTCTTTAGGCAGCGGGAGCGACCATGTGATGGACGCAGTGTCGCAGTGCGAGCAGTACGCCAAAGAGCAGGGAGCTCAGGAGAGGAACGCCCCCTGGCGGCTGTTCTTCAGGAAAGAAATCTTTACGCCGTGGCACGAGCCGACAGAAGACCAGGTCGCCACCAACCTGATCTACCAGCAAACAGTCAGGGGCGCCAAGTTTGGAGAATACCGCTGTGACAGGGTGACTACACGTCCTTTGTTTTCAAAGAATAGTGTTTAGCAAGTGCATGGGAAACATTTCTGCTCCAACAGTGGACATTATAACATTTTGTAGTCAGCCTTCTGTGGGCCTTAGAGGAACTGCAAATATTCTGCATTATTAATAAGGGTAAGAAGTCGGTAACGCTCACGTGTTAGGAGCACTGATTACTGTCAGGCTGGCTGAACAGGAGGCAGGACAAACTTTTTTTTATTTCTTCTGTCTCTGTGTCTCCAGGATGACCTCGCAGAGCTGGCCTCTCAGCAGTATTACATTGACTACGGTTCAGAGATCCTCCTGGAGCGCCTGCTGAGCCTCATCCCGTCTTACATCCCGGACAGAGAGATCACCACCTCCAGATCGGTGGAGAAGTGGGCTCACTTCATCATGGCTGCTCATAAAAAGGTGATTATCACCAGTAAGAAGGAGAGGTCTTTTTAGCCCGGCTTGTAGATGAACGTGATTCTGTTTGTCTTTTAGGGCCAACCGCAGCTTAAATTGTTGAAACGCTGAAATTTCATATCCAAGCTAAGATGTTCAGCTTGGACATTATCTGTAGCAGTATGATAAATACATTTATTTTATATACTTTTTTTATTTTCACATGTAAATGTAATAAACATCTTTGTGCTCAGAGCATCTACACCCAGAAGAGATTTGACCCTCAGAAGGTGAAGGAGGAAGTGGTCGACTTTGCTCGCCACAAGTGGCCTCTGCTGTTCTCTCGTTTCTACGAAGCCTTCAAGTTTTCAGGTGAAACTTTTTTTTAATCACTTTGAACAACTTTGGTGACACTTAGTTAAAGTGTGAAAATACTGAACCGTTTTATTGATTATTGGTAAAATGATTGATTAAGGTTTATTTCAACTATGACTGAAGTTACTCAGTTCAATAAAATTGTATTTATATAGCACCAAGGTGCTTTATATTGTAGGTAGAGATGCTACAATAATACAGAAAGAACCCCAACAATCAGACGCCCCCCTATGAGCAAGCACTTGGAGACAGTGGGAAGGAAGAACTCCTTTGTAAACTCTTAGGAGCTGCTTTTCCATCATCAGTCATTTCCATCCACTGCTTGCTCCTCCTGTCATAAAGCAGTGCAGCTGGCGAGCGCTACAGTGATGCTCAGCAGTTTGTTTTTATCAGAATCCTTTTTTGATCCCTGGGGGAAATTATTTTTCGTTACAGTGCTCCATTATAAACAAACATTAACAGGGACAGACAATACACTAAGAATAGCACAATATATGCAGGCATATATATACATAAAAGTCACTTATTAATAAATAAATGAAAAAGAACATGTGCAAGAAGGGTGTAGCTGTTGCAGTAAACTGTGTGTTAAGTGGATGAGTTGTACAGGGAGCCACAGGCAGGAAAGATTTCCTGTGTCGTTCAGTGGTGCTTTTCAGTAATCTCAGTCTCTCACTGAGCGCGCTCCTGTGACTGACCAGCATGTCGTGGAGTGGGTGGGAGGTGTTATCCAACATTGTCTTTATCTTGAGAACATCCGCCTCTCCGACACCACCTTGAGGGAGTCCAGCTCCGTCCCCACAACATTACTGGCCTTACAAATCAGTTTATCGAGTCTGTTGGCATCTGTGACCTTCAGTCTGCTCCCCCGGCATGCAACAGCATAGAGGATCGCACTGGCCACAGAGTCATCAGAAAACGTCTGAAGATGGAGGTCTCTGTGCAGTGGCTGAAGTCTGTGTTGTAGAGGGTGAAGAGGAAGGGGGAGAGGACAGTCCCCTGTGGTGCCCCTGTGTTGCTGATCACCTTGTCAGACACACACTGTGGGAGACGTACATATTGTGGTCTTTCTGTCAGGTAATCAACAATCCAGGACACCAGAGAAGCATCCACCTGCATCGCTGCTAACTTATCACCCAGGAGGGTCGGCCTGATGGTGTTGAAAGCACTGGAAAAGTCAAAAAACATGACCCTCACAGTGCTCGCCGGCTGGTCCAGATGGGTGTAGACACGATTGAGCAGGTAGATGATGGCGTCCTCAGTTCCGAGACGAGGCTGATAAGCAAATTGAAGGGGATCCAGATGTGGTCTTACTATGGGTCGCAGCTGGTCCAGGATGAGCCTTTCCAGGCTCTTTATGATGTGGGAGGTCAGTGCCACGGGCCTGTAATCCTGGGGGCCACTGGGACGTGGCGTCTTTGGTACAGGGACGAGGCATGATGTCTTCCACATCACTGGGACCCTCTGCAGACTCAGACTCAGCATAAACAGTTTATGAAAGACTCCACACAGCTGGGGGGCACAGGTCTTGAGGACGCGGGGACTCACTCCGTCTGGTCCAGCAGACTTGCCTGAGTGAAGTCTCCTCATTTGCATCTCAAAACATGCAAATGAGGAGTGCATTTCTTGCCTCGAGTGCTGCAACACATCAGTTTTTCCACCTTCAGTACTGTGCTTCTTGTTGTTGAAGTAGCTCCCTTTTTAGATAAGCTGACATTCCCGGGCTTGTGTTGTTTTTGGGCACTAGGAAATGTGCCTGCATAGGGTTGCTGTAGCACTGATATCATGATATGACCCTTTAATGTTATGCAAAGTACCAGCGGCATTGTTGTAGCACCTCCAGTCTGCCATCAGTGCTTTTCATTCCACTAACTTTGATACAATGTGACACGAAAATAAAGACGGATATTGTTTAAAGCAAAATTATTCAGAATTGTTATTTATATTTTAACCTCTTGGTTCTGTAAGTTCTTTTCTTTTTTTTAATTTATTTTGATCTTTACCTCTCAGGTCCCAGTCTGCCTAAAAATGACCTCATCGTCGCCGTCAACTGGACGGGAGTTTATTTTGTAGATGAGCAGGAACAGGTCCTCTTAGAGCTCTCCTTCCCAGAAATCACTGCAGTTTCCAGCAGCAGGTGAGTCTACCTGTAGTCACCTGACCAATGACATGATTCTCTGATCTGAGGGCCGTGAGTGAGGAATGAGGGGTTAAGAGTTTCAGCGTATAAAGTGGAGCCTAAACTTAAATGTAAATTTCATCGTTATCCTGGACAGCGAAGCTGGTCAGTGCATATTTTGTTGTTCTTTCAGGGGAGGAAAGCTGCAGGGTCAGAGTTTCACTTTAGCGACCATCAAAGGAGACGAGTACACCTTCACCTCCAACAACGCAGAGGACATACGGGACCTGGTGGTGACCTTCCTGGAGGGTCTGAGGAAGAGGTCAAAGTTTGTGGTCGCTCTGCAGGACAACCCCAACCCCAGTGAGTCCTGAGCAGAGAGGCACACTCAGCTTGGAATGAAATAAATCCAGTGTGGAAAAGATTTACAAAGTGCCGTTTTCTTCCTCAGCTGGAGAGGAGTCGACGTTCCTGAGCTTCCGGAAAGGAGACCTGATCCTGTTGGACCAGGAGACCGGCGAGCAGGTCCTCAACTCTGGCTGGGCACACGGTGTTAACGAACGAACCAATCAGAAGGGAGACTTCCCAGTGGACTGCGTCTACGTCCTGCCCACCATGACCCGACCTCAGCAGGACATAGTGGTGAGGAGGAAAACATACCTAAAACGTCTGAGAATACAAAAAATGTGATTACTGGGCACTTTCAGTCATTTCAGAGCCACCTTAGTGACTCCTCCAACCACCTAATGAGCATCAAACTGCCTCAAAAATTGGCTTTCAGCATTTAAAGAAGACTATAGCCAAACATCAGGATAAGCAAAAAACAAAGAGGACTGCTGAGATTGTACGCACAACAGCAAAAAGCACAATAACCACAAAATTATGTTTTTATTACAGCTTAAAATTACAAAATGTTCCCATTTCCTGTTTAACAGTTTAGATCATACACTGTATATGAAAGATGGCCCACTGTGATGTCACAGATACTGCTGTGTTAGGTTGTCTTTTGTGCTTACACAAAACATGATGCAGTCTGATGTGATCCGAACTATCAGGCGCTGGTCACCATGACGCCCGAGCAGCGCCAGGAGTCGGTTCGTGTTTCGCAGGTCGTCATGGTGGAAACTGATGACAGAACGAAACCCTACACGCTGGAGGAGTTCTCCTACGACTACTTCAGGTACACAGACCAAAAAAACATGAGATATAGATATTTTTCTTGCTTCAAAAACAAATATCTATCGTTCTGATGATCCTCTGCCTTCATTCCTGAGTCCTGCGATCTCTGTGTAACCTGCTCCTGTCAGGCCTCCTCCCAAACACACCCTGAGCCGGGTGATGGTCACGAAGAATCGCGGGAAAGACAAGCTGTGGAGCTGCACCCGAGAGCCGCTGAAACAGCCGCTGCTGAAGAAGGTCGTCAGCCACGAGGAGCTGGCTCAGGACGCCTGCATGTCTTTTATAGATATCCTTTAAACTGCCGACTGGTGGATCACCAAGCAGACTCTGAGCTTATGTTGTGTTCAGACTAACCCCACAGACATGTTTTCACAACATTCACAAGTACTCATCGTTAACAGTAACAGCGTTCATCTCTCTCAGATTTTAGGGCCATTCTAATTAGATGATCTTCTGCGTTTCTATCATGGTTTGAGTTTTGTCTCTGTTATTACATCGTTTGTATTTTACACTGTAAGGGAAAGACTATCAGATGCAGGTTAGAAACACCTCTTAGAAGCAGGTCAGGGTACTCTGCTAGAACCTACTGCCACTTCTGATACCTTTACACATTTACCTGGGGGTTTACTTTGAAGTTTGATCAAAAATAACTTTCATTTCAGCGGCCACCTGTCCATAAAAACTGCATGTAAAGAATCACCAGTCAAATCTGGTAAATGGTAAAAACTTAAAAAGCCTTTTTTGCTCCCTGGTAGTTAAACGTCTGCCACAGTCTCAGCTCTTGTAATCTCTCTGCTTTTATATTGTACATGTGTCAGGGTTATTCCTTGACCTAGAGCCTACCTATCATGAAGTACATGGGCGACTACCCGTCCAAACGAACTCGCTCGGTGAACGAGCTGACGGACCAGATCTTTGAAGGGGCGCTGAAGGCCGAACCACTGAAGGATGAGATCTACTGTCAGATCATCAAACAGCTCACAGACAATCACGTCAAGTGTGTAAATTCACCTCAGTCACACTTTCATTTACAGATTTTTAAGGATAAAACGATGAGGTGCACGTGGATGAAACTCAGATTTTTGTTGGTTTTTTGGGGGGATGTGAAATAGACAATGATGCTGTTTTGTGCCGGCCTGTCAACCTGTGGTGGAGTCGGCCTCTAGTGGCCATTAGAGAAACTGTATTTTCCCCCACTGATTTAATTAAAAAACTAGGGCTGGGTATCATCACTGATTTCTAGAATCAATGCGATCCACCATTCGATTCTATTCGATTCAGGGAAATTTATCCTCAGACAGTCAGAAATATTATAATTCTGATCACGCATCAGTACATGTCCATATTTTTTTGTCTATTAAAAAGAAAGCTGAAACTTGCGAGACTTTATCAAAGGTGTGAGCATCACAGCAGATGCCTTTGTGTCAAAGTAGCTGAGGATAAAACACAGAAAAACATGAAGGTGATTTTCCTGGCCTGGGATTTTATAAAAATATTCTGCAGTACATCAAAAACGAAAGAAAACCATTAATCAACACATGAACATTAGCTGATGCTGCTGAAGTGAAGCAGAGCAAAGTTACAGAGGTTTGATTAGAGACACAGCTGAACGTTTTGCAATTTTGCATCATTTTAAGAAGTTTAAATTTGTTCAGAATTGAACAGCAGAAATTAGGTTTTCTTTTCGGAAGTAAGTAAAAGGAAAAAAAACAGCGGCCGACAGAGCTGTAAACAACGATAGACTTGTGCATAATAAGCAAGCAAATAATGCAGAAAACAGATTTTTAGACGGGAAACTGTTCTTGAAGTACAGAGAGAGAGAGAGCTGTGCATGAAGTGTGATTTTTATCCTGGTGGAAGCAAAACAGCAAAAGTCAGAGTGAATTCATGAC